ACACCCACCACCCTAGGCTAGCCAACACCTGTTCTGCTTGGTAGGGCTCTGAAGGCACAATCTTGTGGATCTCAGCGTCACCTCTACACCAAATCAGGGAGACATCAGAGCTGAACTTAAGTGGAGGTCTTTGAACTATATACAACAGAATCCAATATGTTATCAATGTTAATCATTCCCATGCTAAATTACAAGTTTGAATGCATTTAGTTTTGCAGATAATTTAAGATACATGTTGTCTGTGTACCCAGGGAGTTCATAATCTAAGAAGAACATTTTGTACATAAATACTGTTTCTTTCCTTCATCTTTATCTCTTTTTCAATGGCAGTATCACTAAGATCCTTCTTTTGTCTGGCTCACAGGACCACTGGTTATTGGAATGGTTACTAAACAGAGAGTCTGGGTAGGGAAAGCCCATTCTACAAACATCAGAAATGCTAAGAGTGGGAAAGAACATTTGAGATCATCCAGGTTCAACTTCTGTCTGGAGTCTGAGCCCCCTCTATGAGCTCCCCGAGGAGTCATGCAGCCTCTGGCCTGAAGAGCACAAGAACTCAGGGATGGGAAGCCTCCCACTCCTTCCTCACTTCCCAAGGTGGCCCATTCCATTTTGGGAAAGGTTTATGATGAGGAAACGCCTCCTCATCCTCAGATGAGACCTGCTTCTCTATACCTCTCCACAGTTTCTACTCCCTCGAATCCAATCCAGGATCAACGGAACACTTCTAATCTCTCCTTTACGTGAAGGCGTTTCAGATTCTGTGACCCCATTTGGAATTTTCTTAGCAAAGATACTGGACTGGTTTGCCATTTCCTTCTCCTGCTCATTTTATAGATAAGGAAACTGAGGCAAAGAGGGCGAAGGTCACACAGCTAGTAAGTGTCTATGGCTAGATTTGAACTCGGGTCTTCCTGACTCTAGGCCCAGGGCTCCATGCACTATAATGTCACCTAGATGCTTAACACAGAGACTCTCTTGCTACCTGAAGAGAACTAGCAAGCCTTTCTAACTTCTCTTTGGCAGGTTCAACATTTCAAGTCCTTTAGATCAAGTCTCATATGCCTTGGTTTTAAGTCATCTCACCATCTCGGTTGCCAGCGTAGGCAACCAAGTGAGAACTGAGAGTGTGGTGGAAACCGGATCAGGTGAACATCTGGGGAGCTGGGCTTGACAAGGCAGAAACCTGGGATAGGTGAAGCCTGCAGTGACACGAGCAGGGATTCCATGGGGCTCCCCAGTTGTGTTAGGAAAAGGAACTAGTGGGAGAAGGGAATGTAAAAGCACCAATTCTAGCACAATGCACTCTATAAACCAAAATGTAACAAAAATCAAGAAGTACAAAAACATTTTAAACCGCCTCTTTTTCTGTGTTAAAACTGATCAAATGCTTTTTTGTATGCCCTAAGAAACGGATAGTCAGAAAAATCGATTTGAGCTAACACACCCTTAAATCCACAAGAATTCAAAGCATAGGATATCAATTATTTTCTCCTTGAAGTCAAAGATCTTGTCTTGTTTACTTCTATACCAACCTCACTACACATTATATAGAGCAGATGCTTATTTAATGTTTGATGAAAAAAACTGAGGTGGAATGCTGTAAAATTACAATGAGCAAGCTTGGGCCAAAAATGGAGAAACGAGATCACGCCTTCCTCCCTCCTTTGCAAAAGTGAGGGACTATAAGTACAGATGAGATGCACTAAAAATCACTTTTTTCAAGAGGTATGGAATGTCTGCTAGTACTAGACATTGCACCTTTCTTGATCTGGGATCAAGATTTTCAAATAGAAACAGTTTTAAACCAATGGCCTGTGAAAGCAATGCCTTTCACAAAGGAATGATAGAAAATGTGCTTAAATTTCAGCTTTATGAGGTCACTTTTAAATCTTTCTGAGTTTTGTGGGTTTAAACAGGAATCAATCAAGACCTAGTATCAGGAATCCAATACTTCATGGAATCTTTGCCCTGAGAAGATATCATCTGGCCTGGTGATTGACCCACTTAGGCAATTACAGAATCAGGACCTGGCTCACAATCTTTCTTCACGATCTTCCGTAGTGATACTCCTCAACTATCCTAAATCCCTAGTTCCTCCTGTTGTCCAGTCTCCATTACCATTACCTACATTTGACACAGTTGGTCACCTCCTCCCAAATGATCTTTCTTCTTAAGGTGCCGTGATCCTGCTCCCTTGGCCCCCCCTCTTAGCTTCTGCTGGATCTTCAGCACACACCTCTTAACTGTGGGTGTCTCCCACGGGTCCGTCTATTCTCCCTCCACATCACCTCACTTGGTGATCAATTTTCATTTCTATGCCAATGATTCCCATATATCCATAACGAGCTCTGGAGTGTCTCCTGAGCTATAGGACTGAATCTCAGTGGATGTTCAGTAAGCACCTCAAACATATGTCTAAAACAGAGCTCATTCCCTCCAAACCCTCTGCCCTCTTCAGCTTCTCATTAACGTTGAGGGCATCACCAGCCTTCCTAGTCACCCAAGCTCACAATCTCCGTGTTAGCTCTGACTCCTCATTCGTATTCATCCCATATTTCCAATTCAGTACCAGATCTTGTCATTTCCACCTTCCCAAACAAACACCCCTGCATACATCCTCTTCCCTCCATGCACTCAGCAACCACCTAGTTCAGGTCCTCCAAGACTTGTAATTTTATTTGATGAATCACTGACTCACCTCTCACTTCACTTCAATCCACCCTCCACTTAGTTATCAAAGTGGGTCTTCCTAAGTTGCAGGTCTCCTTATATGTCACCCCCTCCTCCCAAATCTACCTCCAGAATCAACTATAAACTCTTCTGTTTGGCATTTAAAGCCCTCTATCATCTGGTTCCTTCATACCTGTCTAGTCTTCTCGGGCTTTCCTCCCCTCCACGTACTCTCCATCTTCTCTACTTTATGGGCTTACTTAGCGTTCCTCCTCCACGGAAGGATCCATGTCCCTCCCCCATTCCCACCTCCGCCCTGGCTTGCTCCTCAGGCCAGGAATGCTCTCCTTTCTCACCTCGGTCTCCTGACTTCCTCAGCCTCCTTTGGGACGGCATTAAATTCTACCTTCTTTCTGCAAGAAGCTTTTCCTGGTGCCCTTGCTGATAGGGCCTTCCCTCTGAGATCACTTTCTATCTATTCTGTATGTATCTTGAATGTACCCAGTTATTTTAAAGTTTGTTTCCCTCTTAAGAATATCAACTTCTTGAAGGGCAGGGACCATGTTTTCGCCTTTCTTTTGTACAAGTTTAATAAATGGCTTTTGTTATAATCTTGGAAAGGCCCCTGCTGTGATAGTCCTCCTTCCTCTCCTCTCTGAATCCCCTCCTTCTCCTCTATCGCTGATGGCAGCTTCCGTCCTTCAACCTCCTTCACGCGCTCTAAACCAGCTCGAGGCCCACTTCCTCCCTGGCCCCCTCCCACCACAGCAGCTAGGACTACCCTCTGAATCTAACAGGCTCCACAATATCTAAAACTGGAGAGGACGTGCAAGGCGTGTCCCAACACCCTCATTTTACAGGTGAGGTCCAGATCAGTGAAGTCATGTGCCCGACCCGACATCACCACAAGTAGCCAAACTCACTGCTCATCATCAATATGCCTAGGGCCTTGGTTCTACTGAATTTGTTTAGCACCCAGGTACTGATGTATACCATTCATTTTTCAATATTTACTACATTACATAAGGCAGTGTGCTAAGCACTAGGGAGTAACATCTTATTTATGATCATCATAAGATCATCAGCTCTTCGGAGGCATAAACTTAATCTCATAGGGAAGTGTCCCAAAATAATTACAAAGAACTTTGGACCTGGAGCCAGAAGGGAACGGGGTTCAAATCCTACCTCCAATGCTTACCAGGTCTGTGATCATAAGCAACTTTTTTGTTTGTTTGTCTGTTTGGTTTTGGTTGTTTTTTTTTTGGTGAGGAAATTGGGGCTAAGTGACTTGCCCAGGGTCACACAGCTAGTAGTGTCAAGTGTCTGGGGCCAAATTTGAACTCAGGTCCTCCTGACTCTAAGGCCAGAGCTCTATCCACTGAGCCACCTAGCTGCCCCAATAAGCAACTTATGCGACCCCTCTACACATACCTCACTTTCTTTGTCTAAAAAATGGGTATGCTGCCTATATTACTTATATCAGTGAGTTGTTGCGAAGATCAAACGAGAATCTAAGAAGTGTTTTACAAACTTCAAAGCTCTATATAAATGCCAAATATTATTTTACTTCTCTTGTATCCTCACAGGTGGTCAATAAATGAAAATGCATTTTTCTGGCTCCTCAGGAAAAATGGAATTTATAAATGGTTTGTGGCAGAGAGGCTGGCTGTGGCTGCCAAGTCTTGTGGGACATAGCCAAAGGAACATTGGATTCGAAGTCGTAAGACCCATGCAAGGCCAGCTCTGTCACTTACTAGGACCACTGCATTCAGACCCAGAAGGGCTTTACAGACCAGGTAGACCAACTCCCAGAAAGTGAAATTCAAAGTGCTAAAGCAGCTGCTGAGGGCAGAAGTCAGGAGGAGCAGCCAGGCACTCAACACAGGGTCTCCTCCAACAATCCAGTGCTCTTTCTGCTACCTCAGGAAGCTCCCGCCCCGTCACACGGAATGAGAGGAAACGTTCCGACCAAAGGGAACTCCTGAGCCTCTCTCTGTGGGTAGGGGGAGGCTCTGCTATACAACAGCAGCTAACAGGTAGAGCTGGAAAGCCATGAATCGCCTCTCCTTTTGTGTTGGCATCCCCAGCACTCAGCAGAGGACCTGACACACAGCACATGTTCCTTAGAGCCTCAGTTTCCAAATGGAGACAATAATTTCTGTAATATCTTCCTCATAGGGTTTTAAAGAAAACAGACTAAAAATGATAATAACACACGACCTCGACTGTTACTCCCAAGGCTAGGTCCTCTTCTCCGAACCAGCACGTCTACTACTACTACTGTATTGGTGCCCCCAAGTTGAAATAGTTTTGTAAAACGTGCTAACCTTCAAATGGCCTTCACCAGTGAGGAACTCTGAGTAGCCAGCATCAGTGGCCAACAAGCCCACAAACTGCATGGTAGGCCTTTGCTGGATAAAGGCCTCCACAGCTTTGTCGGTCACGTGCTTCCTCCCGGAAATGTCCAGAGACACAAGACTGGGCAGAATGTCCTTCTGCTCCAGGAGGCGAAGGGCTATGTCGGAGGTGAACTGCTTATCGTCGGAGATGTCCAGGTGGTCCAGGTGCCTGAGTTCTCCAATCACACCCAAGATCTGGGCGGTGGTCATCTTCAAGCACTTCAGGTGGTGCATGGTCAGGGCCCTGAGCCGGTCTTTACAGGCGAGCAGAGCCGTGATGTCTGTCACTGACGTGTTGGAGATGTCCAGGCTCTCCAGCCTAGGCAGCGAAGCCACGTCGGCCAAGTCTTCGTTATAGAAGAGGACATTGGTGATGCTCAAAGCCCGCAGACCGGACAGCCGGCTGAAGCACCTTTCATAAGGATCTTCCAGGGAAAGGGTGAGCGAGTTCAACACCAGGCACTGCAAATTCTGCTGAAGCCATTTGTTACTGCCAAGCCCGCTGATGATGTCCGTGATGGTAATGTCGGCATTCACCCCAGTGGCATCAAGTTCTACCAGCTTATGATGGCAAAAGGCTTTCCGAAAAGCTACAGCAGAGATCTTCGCTTTGCGGATACAAGCTCGCTTCAAGCGCATTTGGTTGCCTCGGAAAATTCCCACAGTTCCGTCATTTAGCAGGCCTAGGAGAAAAGAACAGCACTCAGAACATTTTTTCCTACCTTAGGAGGAAAATCCTCCTGGTACATTATTAAGTCCCTCACCAGAAGAACTAATAACATGTTTAAATGAGCCACAGGTTAAAAATAGGGACAGGGAGGCACATGTATAGAGACTGAAATTACTCAGGAAGCACCCAAAAGATTACTCTTGAAGTTGCTTAGAAACTGACAGAGTAATATTTTCAGAATTAAATTACATGAGGCCGAATGTACAACAATCTGATATATTTATGTGTAAGAGGAAACACCAGGAAAAGGGACAATCATCAGACATCATCAGTACTAGGAGACACCAAAGGTATACTATGTAAATGTCTCCTATTCCCTCTCTTTGCCTCCCAATCTCCACCTGTTGAAATTGTACTTATGCTTTAAGGCCCAGCTCAAATGAGCTTGAATTACAGTTCTTCCATTTATTAGCAGCATGACCTTGGGCAATCAGTTTCTCTTGTTGAAACTCAATTTCCTCATCTATAAAACGGGTACAATAGTATTTATATTACCTATCTCACTGGGTTACTGAGAGTTCAATGCTTTGTAAACGATTTTTGTTGTTGTTCAGTCATTTTTCAGTCAAGTCTGACTCTCTGTGACCCCATTTGGGGTTTTCTTGGCAGAGATACTGGAGTGGTTTGCCATTTCCTTCTCCAACTCATTTTACAGATGAGAAAACTGAGGTAAACAGGATGAAGTGACTTGCCCAAAGTCACACAGCTAGTAAATATCTGAAGCCAGATTTGAACTCAGGAAGATGAGTCTTCCTGACTCTAGGTCTGGCATTCTATCCACTATGCCACCTAGCTGCCCCTTGTAATGCACCATAAAAATGTGATCTACCATAGCACATACAAATAATAGTAACAGCTAATATTTATATAGCACCTACTATGTGCTAGGCACTGTGCTGAGCTCTTTACAAATATTATCTTATTTTTATGCTTACAACAACTCTAAGAGGTAGGTGTTATTATCATCATCCCCAATTTTTAACTGAGTAGTTAAGTGACTTGTGCAGATTCATACAGCTAGTAAGTATCTGTTTTTTGTTGGGTTTTTTTTGGCTAGGCAATGGGGTTAAGTGACTTGCCCAGAGTCACACAGCTCGTAAGTGTTATGTGTCTGAGGCCAGATTTGAACTCAGGGCCGGTGCTCTACCCACTGCGCCACCTAGTTGCCCCCAGCTAGTAAGTATCTGAGACCACATTTGAACTCGGGTCTTTTGACTCCAGGCCCAGTGTTCTATCCACTGTAGCTCCACCTAGCTTCCTTAAGCCTGTGTATGTGTGTATATACTGTGCACATATCTATTCATACATGGAGACTCTAAAGCTATTAGTTAATGCTCTGGGCTCACATAAGGCCTCTGTGTCAGACGTGGAAACAACCCACATTCATGGGTACATTCAACAAAAAGAGATTTATGCACCTCAGAAAAACAAGTTGGTGCATGTGGAGGCTCCTGGTGCCCTAACAAGGATGACTGCTTGTCAAGGTTGGGAGGTGCCCCAAGTCACAGGATACTCTGTTTAGAGCTGGAAGGGCCCTCTCAGAGGCCACTGAGTGCAAGTTCCTTGGTCATTTCGCTTGCCCCAGGTCAGATGCTAGTTAGCAGCTGAGCCAGGATTTGAACCCAAGTTTTCCTGACTCCAGTCACTCTCTTTACAGTGAGAATGTGCCCTGTATAAGGCCGGGATCCCTCTGCAGTCACACACTAAGTTGACCCTCCATGGAGCCCACTGTTGCAGCGTGTCGGTTCACCTTCCTGGCCTACACACCAGGCACACACCACCACCACTACCACTTCTACCTCTTCCTGTTCCCCTCCTCGACCTCTCTGAGGCCAAAGCTGCCTTCCTTTCCTTTCTCCCTCCCTCTCAAATTAGCTTGTCCTTTCTTATCTCCAACAGAATGTAAGCTCCTTGAAAGAAGGGGATGTTTTTTGTGTTTGTCTTTCCTTCCCCAAGACAGCCCCTGGCTCATAGTAGATGCCAAATGCTCAATAAGAGACTGCTGAATGAAATTTCTGAATCTTGTCTAACATGTTTGCTGTCCTTCCTAGCTTTATGTCATCAATAGAATTCAAAATCACGCTACCACTACCTTAACAATATTGAACAGAGAATGAGACCCAATGAAGCTTGGAGTATTTAAATAAAGACCCCCTTCCAAAACGACATCAATCCACTAATAATTACTCTCAGCGTACAATCATTCAATGAGTTCTGAATTCATTTCTCATTCCTCTAACTTTGCCAGGAGACTTTGTCAGACACTTGGCTAAAATCTAAGACAGTGTCTACTACATTTCCATGATCTACCAATCTAGTTATACTGTCAAAAGAAGAAATGAGATTTGCCCAACATGACCCATTCTTGATGAAGCCATAATGGCCTTTACTAATCACTGCTGCCTTGTCTTAGGGCTCACAACAATACCTTTAATACTGCATTCGGGAATTTTACCCATCTGCACAAGCTCTCCTTAGTGCCTCAAGTCTGCTGTGGAGGTAACTGTGGAATGGAATGTCAAGGGCAGGCCCAGCAAAGTGTCGCCTCTGGCAGGATCCATCAGGCTTGTGAAGCTTTGAGTACCCAGAGGATGGTCCAAGTCTACAGGGTAGATACCTGGAACAGGAGTTACAGGAGAACAAAAGGCAAGAGCTGCCCAGGGCCAGGAGGCCCAGCTGAGGCCCTCCCCATCACTAGGCTCACCAATCCAGGCTCTCTGGTCTGGAGTCGAAGATTTTTCCTTTTCCTTTCATCGCAAATCAGAGCATCTGGCTTTTCCTGGGGTAGCAACGGCGCTCCTGGTTGCCAGCATTTCTCCAAGATCGCTGACTGTGGCTCAGCAATGCAACCTCAGCACACGTGGTGTCTCAACCTGGGGACCAGCTCATTGGGAGCAATCAGACACTAGATTACTACCCTTGCTTACCTCGGAGTGTTGCTATTCCCTGCTGACCATTTCTGTTCTCTCAGTCCTGGCACAAAGAGCACTCAAAGTTCATGAAATACCATGAGCCAGCAGAATCAACATATAGCCTGGGACAAATCCACTGAACCACAGAATCGTTTTCTTGCAAAGGCTGGAAAGGACTTCAGACACCATCTACTGTAACCCTCTCAGTTTACAGAAGAGGAAATGAAGGTCAGAGAGAAGTGGCCTACATATGGTCACACTGTACAATGGAGTCACCGCCGGTATCATAGCTGGGTCTACTGACTCCCAAGGGTTTGTTTCTATCTCCCTAGACTAAGCATTTAGGATTTCCCCTTACCACTTAGAAGTGATTTGGGGGAATAAATTGAAAAGATTTGCCTTCATAGCTTTAAAGATCAAAAGCAGTTCATTTTCTCAGAATAGTGTTCATTCTCCTCCTCCTCTCCACTGAAAACATGGTATTTTGCACCAGACTTCTAAATGTATATTTCAAACCATGTGCAATGAAGGGAAGTTATTCCTGTAAAAAGGTGGGTAACTCAAACCAAAATAGCCAAGAGCCCCAGCCAATTTATGAGGCCCTCAAATCACCAAATCTGAGCTGGAAAGGGGACTTAGGTCTTTAAAGGTTATCTAGTACATCCCAGACCTGATTAGGAATTCTTCTAGAACATTTCTGGTAAGTGGGCACTCCCTCCTGAAGACCTCTAGAAAAGATGCCTATCACCTCTAGGGCAGCCCATTCCACTTGGTGGCAGCTCTTATCATAAACAAGTTTCTCCTTCCACATCAAACAGAAATTGGCTCGCTAATTAAACCCAATTCTCACCATTAAAGTCATAAAGACCAAGTCAAATCCTTCCTCCACGGGCCAGCCCGTCAGATCACATGTCCACCCTGTTTTCTCTTCCCCAGACTGAACATCCCAATGCCTCAAACCAGCCTTCATCTGGCACGGTCTTCAAGGCTTCCCCCTTCCCCAAGGCATGCTCCAATCTGCCAGCACCCTTCCAATAGCTGAACTGAACACATTATTATAGGTCTTGCTGGCCCAGCAGAGGCCAGATAACATCTCAAACTACCCAGAAAGCGCCAGAACAGGCTAGAAGCCAGTGAATTCTTTTTTCCCTCTGGAATCACAGGATCACAGGTTTAAAGATAGAAGAGACCTCAGAAGTCATCTAGTCCAACCAGATTTACCAAGGCTGTCTTACCCAGAGCCACAGTTAGTAATGGTTAGAAAAAGGAGTCAAGTGGAGTCTCCTGACCCCAAATCTTGAGCTCCTTCTACTGCATCATGTTTGCTATTCCAATCAAACCCACCACATTAGCTTCCACTGCTGCTAAACCAAAGAACTGCATGTGTAGCAACACTAACTAGAAAGTAACTGGGTGCATTTCACTGTTTGGTCTTACCGTGAAAGGCCATCGTCTGGAGAAGCCTATCAGCCACTTCCTGGGGGAACATGCCTGGTTCCTGCAGGCACAGAGTTCCATCTTGTCTTTCTGAACAGAACTTCTCCAGGTGAGTGGTCAGGAAATTCAAGCAAATATCCAATAAGGAAAAGGGAGATGCTTCCTCCTGTATATTCCATGGAAAACAAAAAGAATACAAACAAAATCCCACAAATCAGTGTCTGCATGTATGTGCATCCCCACCTACACACATACCGGGCACCTAAAGGTTAATGGAATCCAAGTAAAATAATCAAGACTGAACACCAACTGACAGTAGCCCATTCATAACACAAGAGGGAGTAGTTTGAAATTTTCGTTCAAGAGAATCTTAACTTAGAAGAGTCGGAAGGGCGCTTTAGAAAACACAGCTAGAATGCAAAGTGAGAAGGAACCTTGTAGATGACTTAACCTCTGTTCAAAAACTGTTTTCAGCAAACCCTGATGCTCATTGATAGCGAAATTTTCCTCCTAAAATATTCAGCATGAAATGATGGTAATATCAAACATTCCTTGATAGGAAAATAGGTTTACATTTTTTCTCTCCTGCCCCACAATTTCCCTGGCCCATCTTATGTTTGGTGGGTATTCTATGCTTCCCAACCTTTTGCACCAAGTTTTATGGGTTCTAGCCCTTCACATCCAAATTCAACTAAAGGATGCTGGGTTAGTGCAAGCCCCCCTTAGTCCCTGAGGAGTATACTGGGAGGTCTAACCCTCTGCCTATGGCCAAAGAGCCCATCAGGGCAGGGCTAGGAGGAGCATCTCAGTCCTCTGCTCTTCCCATGGCATCTACCTCAGCTATCATGAATGACTGCTGAACCAACTTCAGGCATGCATTTTGTGAGACCTGTCACTCCATAGTTCAGTTTCACTTGAGATGCTAATGGCTTCCATTTCCATAGCACTTTCAGATTACACAGAATGTTTTCCTGTGAAGAGGGGTAGTGCCAGCATTGTTATTCACTTTTTGTAGTAGAGGAAAGGTCATTAGAGACATGCTATGATGGCTCTTCCTGGAATGGAAGGGACCCTGGACTGTTCTAGGCCACGCCAGAAGCATACCAGCTCTGGCCATTCCCACTCAAGCAGGAAAGGCTTAGTGATGGACAGCATCAGCCTGGGGTCCCCAAGGACTGAGCTGCCAACACTCCTCACCAGGTTAGCCACAGAATGCAAGGGAACTTCTCAGCCACCCCAACTCCGGAAGGCTATCTGTTAAGGTATAGCACAGTAGCAATCTGAAGTCACTGACCCTTGAAGTACTGGAAAGCAAAATATTCTTTTGCTGAGGAAACTGAGACTCAGAAAAAGGAAGTGACATCAAAGAAGTGGCAGATTTGGAACCGGAAACCAGGACTCCTGACCCCTCAATCCAATGTTCTTTCTGCTAGATCATAAGGACATGCATTGTCAGATGGTAAGCCTAGGGGCTAGGGATATATAATAAAGTCATGGAAAATAATTAGCATACTGCCAACCTTGGCATCATTCGTTAGCTGCCGACTCTGATGTAAATGATTCTACGTATGAAAACAGAATTCTCCCCAAGACTTTGAACCCAGGAGATCTCATTCTCTAACAAGCTTCAAACAATTGTCACTGCTCTTTCTCTCTCCTCAAATGACCATTTATAGACTTACCCATGTCCATGTCCATCTCCCAATAAAATGCACAGAGAAATGCTCTGAAAACTGAAAAGCATTCAATAAACATGGCCCATTAAAACAAATGGCTTCCTAAGCCACGCATTGCCTGCCACCCACCTGATTAGTGGGCAGACACTTATTAATTCTCTCTTTTCTTTCTCCCTAACTAGGCAGTAAATCCAGGTTTTATATTTATAAATATAAACTTTGGGGTTGCAACTGTCTTTGTATTCTCCCACAGTTGTCTAAAATAGCACCTTGCAGGTGCAGGCATTCAATAAGTATTGATTATATTTTACTTTAAAACTTCAAAAATCTCCTAAAATGCAGATTATCTGATTTCCAGTCAGGGATTTTTCCTCTTAAAATCACACTGCGGAACTTTGCACATACTCTGCGTTCGTTTCCCTGTGTCTATCCATGTTGTATTCCCCAAGCAGACCAACAAATCTCTGAGAGAGGGGACGGTTTTGTCTTTTTGTTTCCAGCCCTTGGCACACCGTTAGCACTTAATAAATGTTTGTGGAACTGAATTTCCCTACATGGCATTGCCTGGGCAGTCTTGGTCCTAGAAGACAGATGCCAAAACACACTTGTTCATCTGGATAAAAAGATGGCGGATTCTGGGTACAGAATACCTTACACACTGCCAAAAGATGCTTGGGTTCTGCTGAATCGTTTTCCTTTCTTAAAAATGATAGTTTTGGCAGGGGAAGGGCTGGTATATGGGGAAATGACTATGGTGTTAAAAAAAAAACCCAACAACCCAGTATCAATAAAACTTTTAAAAGCTAAATAAGCCATATTGTCCCTCATGTTTTCAAGAGCCTTCAATAAATAAAGGAGACCCTATAGAACAGAATCTGGGTCTTTTCTGTTTAAGGTATAAGATCTGACCTCCAAGGAGAGGTATTCGAATGGTTCTGCGTGGCCCCAGGACAGAACAAGGAGCAATGTGGGTGAGAGAAAGGCTGCTTCCTAACATTCAGAACTGTCAGAGAGAGAGAGAGAGAGAGAGAGAGAGAGAGAGTGTGTGTGTGTGTGTGTGTGTGTGTGTGTGTGTGTGTGCGTGTGTCTCCCTTCTTCAAACAAAGGCTGGATGCTATATTTCCTTCACTCCCATATTTTACATCCCCGCTTTGGACCTGGCTGTTCTCTATCCTTGTACTTTGTATACTCTGTAGTTCTTTCTCATCCACCCTAGTTCTTTGTTTATTCCCTCATTTCATTCAACAAATACTTGCTGAGGGTACCCCAGGAAGAGGGTCATTCATAGAGGCAGCCACAAAATATTTCCTCTGGCTAACTAAGGATCTCCCCGAAAGGGTACCTTAAGATATTTATAAAGAAAGGCAGAGGGGAGTATTTAAAATTTGTATAGCACTACTCATTGTAAACTGAATGTTTATTGCCAGACAAAAACAAAGCACTTATTCAAGAATTAAAACTGAGAAGGCTTCTCTCGTCTTGTCCTTTCACTGTAGGATTACTACAAAGTTCAAAGGCTAAATCACTTCACGAATGAACAAACAGGGAAAAGTTTTCCTTAATTACAACACTTCAACTAGCCTAAGATGTGGATGTGATTTTTTTTCTCTCAGAATGAAAGTCATTAAATACTTTTTTCTGGAGGTGTGTTCCTTGAAATGCCATTTGTTCTACACATTAATTCAGGATTGCTGGAAACTGACCATGAGTATAGAAGAGGTTTGAACAGACGCTATTTCCAACTTACACTGCTGCCCCATCATGACCATTAATCTATCTACACATACACTAGAAAGTTATTATACCCAAGTACCATATTTCAAAAATATTTACTATAAAAATGTACCTTCCTTTTCTGTAAGTTCACAGAAGTCTTGCTATGCTCCCCTGAATTGTTTACATTCATTGTTTCTTTGCAGTAGTACCATCTTACCATTCCATTCACGTACTATACTTGTTTACCCATTGCCCAGTGGATGGACATCTACACTGTTTTCAGTTCCAGGTAACTACAAAAAAGGGTGGTATGACTCTTTTGCCATTTATGGGGCTTTATTTTTCATCACTGACCATCTTCACAGGCAGATGGCCTACACCAACAGCCAAGGCAGGAGACAGCAGGATAAGATTCAATTCCATAAACATGTATTATAGTATGAATGCCTACTTTTGCTCAAGGCAAGATGTGTGCCAAAACAAAGGTCTGTCTTTGTGGGCTACAATTCTAAGGTGGAGGGAGTGGAGAGAAAGAAGAAACAGAACAATAGAACAGGTAGATGGAGGGAAAGAAAATCAAGAAAGGCTTCAAGGAGAAGTAACAGTTCAATTTGGCTAAAGTTAGAGAAGGTGAGAAATGGGAGATAAAGAAGGAAAGAGAGGCTGGAATCCAATTATGGACGGCCTTGAATGTCAGGCAAAGGTGTTTGTGCTGTTAACCAGAAATCCTAATGACAAGTTCAGCAGCCCCCTAACAGTGTTTTAGTCTAAGAAATAAAGAACTTTGTAAGTTTCTGAACAGTGGAGTAACATGTACATTAGGAAGATTATTTTTGCAGCAGAAGAAGATGGACTACACAGAAGCAAGGAGACCAGTTACAGCCAGCTCAGACCACTGGATATGAAGTCAGAATCGCCGCCACCTACTACCCATGGGATGAGTCCCTAAGACTCTTGAGATCTCAGGGAGAGTGGAGTAGACTAGATGATCTTCTGATTTGAAACTTGCAGTCAGAGATACTGTAAAAACAGCAGATAAGCACAACAGTCCAGCACCTAAAATAGAAAGGCAGTTGTGCAAGTGGGTAAGAACTGGGGTGGGTCCATCAACAAGACTCAGCAGCCGCCTGAAATGGAGAGAGGGACTACCAAGGAAGAAAGTAGGACCAATCCAAGGCGACTCTGAGACCCAAATCCTGCCTAACTGGGAGAATGCTAGCCCCATCACCAGGAACAAGGAAGCTGGGGGAAGGGGGAAGTCCCTCAAACTCCAGGAGCCCCAAATTTATATCTACAGGAATATATAACGGCAACACCTTCCTCTCAGGGTGGATGTGAGGACAGAACGAGAGAACATGTAAAATACTGAATAAGTGAGCTATCCCTTCTTTTCTAATTTCACCTGAATAAGGAGAGATACAGGCCAACAGCTTGGCAGAACGGTGGCACAATTATTAAGGAGGTGGAAGAAGGATAGTGATAAGAGCCAATACATAGTAAAAAAAAAAAAGCACTGAAGAGAAAGGGAGAAAGGGTGGGGAAAGAATGACTGATGGTACAAACTTTCAAAGGAACAGGAAAGCCAACGGGACTGTCACAAGTGGACAATCTGGTCTTGGCAAGGAAGAGGACGACCCCTTTCCCCATACCCCTTTATCTTCTGAGACTGCACCATTATCATCACCATCATCACCACAG